TAGGATCAATTGGATGCAATTGGAGATCAAATGAGTGAAATATAGTAGTATTTTCACAAATCAATTTCCAGGCGATTAAGTTATTCTTCGAATTTTTAGCCTTAACTTGAAACCCATTTTTCGGATAGCAAACGTTCGAATTGGAAAATTTGTATTTCTAGAAGAATTGTAGCCCTTTAAATTATCTTTCCAACGGATTTTGAATCAGCTCAATCGGATACCCGTGGAGAAAGTTATGACCAAAATACCGAACACTGTTCAGAGACAAACCTGCACGCGCGCAGACAAATTCTCTCGCGCTCGCACGGGCATGGATTTTACTTACCGAACCTAAAACCAATGAACGGCGCGCACGCGCAAGGAAATATACGGTGCGCGCGCACAAGCATTTTTCACAGACGAATCTTTAGTTTCCTTTTGCGATTCAAACTCTTTTGAAAACCAAATTAGACGCGATTTTAACCTATTTTCTGGCTCTTATAAATAGAGAACGAGGGATATACATAGGAAGCTCTATCTTGCCTCTTCATACACCATAGTTTCATCAAATTCATCAAGAACAAGAGGTCCATTACTATATTTTGAGAGAGGAGATCAAGCCATAACAAGGAATTGAAGGTCAATTACATCAAGATTTGGAAGAATTCAACCTTGGGCGTGAAGATCAACATCTTTTGATTTATTTCATGATCCGGGTGATATTTTTCTAGTATTCTTCTTGTAATTTATATATTAACATGTTAAGCTAGATCCAGTTTTGTATTGGATGGAGATGAACCCTATTGTTTATTTGTTTTAATTCAAGACTAGTAGTTTAGTTTATCTCTTGCATTTCTTAATTAATTTTGCATACATATTGCATTATTTAATTGATTGGCCACCAATTAGATAATTAGTTGCTTATTGTAGTGTTGAGCGCGGTAAAATTAACATATGTGCAATAGATGTTAGGAATAACATTTATCACATGTGCAATCATATAGATAATCTAAACTTTAATACATTCTAATCATTCGAATTCGGGCTACGAATAGATTCGGGTCGTGGTTAGGATAGATTTAATTTGTTTTGGAAGAGAGAATTATATATCATAGCTTTATCGATTGTCATGAACGCATGAACAGAACTAGATTACAAATCAAGAATTGAAATAAATAGCAACAGGCGGATTTAAGATTCAATACAATCATTATTAAATTGATAAAAACCACATTTTTACCGCTTTCTTAGATTAATTAAACATAAAATAAAATAAAAATTTATTTTGTTTACATAATTCGAATTCCATAAAAATTTAGTAAACTTGAATTGAATTTATTCCCCGCAGGACGATACTTTCAACTCATTAATTCTATTACTTGTCAACGATCTCGTACGCTTGCGGGTTTTGCACGAACAGTTAAGAACACGGAGCGCAAGTAATTTTTTTAAGAAGAAAACTATGAAAATCGATAAATCCATAACCGTTTAGTTTATATATATATAGGAATCACAAATTTAAGAGGACTAGAAAGTGAAATTCAATCAGTTGTACTGATTTGACATAAAGCTAAGTTATATTTTAGTAGCAAAACATTTATACCTGAAAATGGAAGACGGGCATACTGTCAGAATTAATGTTCAACTTGTGAACCAACTCTTAATGTTGTCTACCAATTTGGAATACCATTAGTTACAAGAAGTTGCAGTCAAGATTGATCACATTAAGGCACAACGGGACGACCAACAATTCCAATTCAGATAGGAACAGTTCAGTGAAGATGAAAAATGGGCGAAAAGAACAGAGTGAGAGCTAGAAATGAGACAAACCCAAGAACCAGTATATCAGGAGCTCACACAGGCTTCTAATGAGGTGGAAATCGCCATCATCTTTCTTTCCTCCAGTTAACAACAAAAAAAATTGATGCAAAATTGGGAAAAGGGTGACAAAAATAAGCAAACAAGAAAATTAGTGAAGTAGGGTATGACACTTGGGCTATAAATGATTGCAGGTTCAACAGTTTTTAATAGTTTTGAGTGCTTTAGAGAGACGGTCGTTATTTTTATATATTTAACAGGAAACAGCAAGTCAGAGGTTTTGTGAATTTGTAAGGTTTGATGCAGGTGATAAAAGGCTAACAGATTTGGAGGATGATTTCTCAGG